TGCCCCCTTCCCCATAAATTCTATTTTTCTTTTGTTCTCTGATACAGTCTAGCAAATTTCTTTTCTGGAAAATATGGTGTGCAAAAGAACTAAACCATTGGCAAAGTACTTTTTTTTGGCACCAGTTCTAGGGATTGAACTCAGGATCTGGCTGCTGTCTCTGAATGTTATCAGCTCAAGATTAGTGTTCTACCACTTGAGCCACTTCTGGCTTTTTGGGTGGTTAATTGGAAGTGAAGAGCATAATGAACTGGGCTGGCTTTGAACTGTGTGACCTTCAGATCTCAGCCTCCTGAGTAGTTAGGATTATAGGCATGAACCATCGGCTCCCAGTGACAAATACATTTTTGTTGCTTTGAGTTAATTTTTGATATCTGAAATGATGTACCCATGGGCTGGGGATTGGGCAAGAGACGTGTGAATGACCCTTGACCATAATCCTCTCCCTGTCCTGTCACCCAGTTAATTAAGAAAGACTGAACAGTCTGATGTTTGTATGTAATAGGAAGTTGAAGATAAGCAGAGTTCTTTCTAGAGGCTGTGACAGGAAAACATAAAAGGGATATGTGGGGCATGGTAGGCAAATTGCTCAATGCTTCTAATGCACATGCTAAGCATGTCATTGCATAATGAAGCTCCTAAAATGTTTTTGGTTTAAAACAACCATCATTTAGCTCTCAGTTCTGCAGGTAGGCAACCTGGTCTGGGTTCAGCCTGGGAGTTCTGTTGGTCTCACCCATGGGGAGATTCATGGCCTCACTCAAATGCTTTGCAGCTAGTGTTCACTGTTGGCTGAACTGGAGGAATAGAGATGGGAAGACCATGTCTATAGTCAGCCCCAGGACACTGACATTTTTCCTGCCTTTTGCTGTATTAAATTTTCTAATGTAATATTGGCCAAAGTAAAGTACATGGCCACGTTTAGGCCAAGACTGTGCCTCTTGCTGTGTGGGAAAGCAACGTGGCACATACAGAAGCAAGTGAAGGATGGGAGGAATTGGTGGCCTTGTTTATGAGTTACATGCCAGGGGTGATGATACCTGTCTAGGTGCTGCTGCTAAAACCCAGTCTTGACCTAGAAGTTTGCAACAATTACGTCCTCACAATATCCTAACCCTTACCGATTATTTTATTTACTTGAGCTGAGCTGAACCAAGTTGGTTCTCTTTTTCTTCTAATTACAAGCTCTTAATGGCAAATTTGGGATCACTCTGTTGTATAAAAGCTCCTTTCCAGAGCTCTTGGGAGTATATTATTGTGCTGAAATCCTAAGACTCTCAGAATCCTGAGTGAAGAAGCAGATGGATGCAGTCTGCAGGCATTGCTGTACAGGGCGCTATCTGAGGAAAGAGCAGGACTTTCAGGGGCCCACAGACCTTGGTACTGGTGCATCATATCTTCAGGCTGGCCCTGCCTTATGTGAGTAAAATCACCAATTCAGGCTGAGGACACAGCAAGACAGCACCTTGGTGTTCCCATTCAGGAAAGCTGGGGAGCAAAGGTCAAAGCCCAGGCCAGGTCAGAATACTCACTCATCAGCCTTGGCCCTTGGGCCTCTGACACTTCTCCCTTGAGGGCTCCTTGGTGCTTTGTGCCTCATGCCATGTTTTCTGTACGTATCACCTAAGTCCTTTTCAAAAATCTGTCAGAGGTGGCTGGGAAGGTGGCTCAGTGGTAGAGTCCTTACCTCGCATGCATGAGGCTCTGGGTTCGATGCCTTAGCACCACATAAGCAGAAAAAGTTGGAAGTGGTGCTGTGGCTCAAATAGTAGTGCTAGTCTTGAGCTGAAGAGCTGAGGGACAGCGCCCAGGCCCAGAGTTCAGGCCCCATGACCAACCAAAAAAAAAAAAATGTGCCAGAGATAAACAGTGAGGCTATTCCAGAATGCTGATGGGGTGATAAAGATCAAACTCTGGGGTAAAAGTGGTCCCTTTTGGAGCCACGTATACTGTTCCCCTGACACCTCTGGGCTAGTGCTACTCAAGATCCTGGTTCCAAATTAACTCTAGAATTTTCTAGCATTTGGAGAGCATCTGGACAGTCTATTTGAGATTGAATGGCCCTTTGGGACTTTCACTTCCCTTTCCTTCCTCCCCCTGTCCTTTTCTTTCCTTACTCGGTTGTCCTGACTGATTTCTAAATGTTTCTAAATGAGCCCCAGTCTGGTCAATTTCATAATCCTTCACATTTAGAGAGTCATTAGTAATAACTAGTAAGTAGGCCTACTTACTATCTTTATTACAGATCCTAATTCTAATCCTATGAGATAGATAGGTGTGGTCAAGGTCAATCTTTCCGGTACAGAGATGGGGAAATGGACTCAGAAAAGTCTTGTGAGATGAGTGGCTGGAGATCACCTAGCTGATTCTGAGAGGCTCTGTCTAGCTTGCTAGCCTTGTGTGCATTTGGAGGCCAGCCCTGTATCAAGAAACTGAAACAAGCAAGGTACCTGAGAGGCAGGTAAGAACACTGCCCTGGGACCAGCTGCATCCTGTCTGTTGAGCTGGGCAGAGATGCCGAGTTCCTCCACCCTTCAATTTGGATGGTGTACAATCCCAATCCCCCATCAAGCAATCAAAGGAATCTGTTACTGGCTGCTTCAATTCCTGCCCAGAGTGAACCCAGTTACTATAGTAACTGGATGTGATTCTTTATTACAGGGTAGATGGTTTTAATTTTGTATTTGAAGAGTTTGGCCAGACAGGTTGCCATGGTTTGGCCTGACAGGTGGCAGGTAGAAGCTGAGGGAGTCCATAGTAGTAGTTGTTGTTGTTTTCTAATTGATGGGGGAACCTGTGTCTGGGAAAAGCAGGACTCTACTGGGAAAGGAAGAGGGCATCTCCCCTGGTGCTAGACTGGTACCCTTGCCCCCCCCCCCACCTCTCATTTGGTAGTATTTGGGTTTGAACTGAGGTCCTTGCACTTGTAAGGCAGAGACTTAACCATTTGAGCCATACCCTCAATCCTTTTTGGCTTTATTTATTTATTTATTTATTTAGAATAAGGTCTCTCAGTTTTGCCTAGGGCTAGTGCCAGACCATTCTTCTCCTACCTATGTTTCCTGAGTACCTAGGATTACAAGTGGGGACCACCACTTCTACCTTGTTTATTAAGATGGGAGTCTCACTTTTTCCTGAGCTGATCTTGAGCTGAGATTCTCCCAATCTCTACCTCCTAAGTAATTGGGATTACAGAAGTAATCCACGATGGCTGGCTGGGAAGATGCCTCTGAATTAGAGCTCTGGTGAGGTTGACCTTCATCTAGTTGCTCCCACAGTGGGCTCTATTTCCCCTTCAGGATCTTTATTTTGGGGCCTAGCCTCACAGTTGATTTGCTCTGCCTTGAATCTCAGCACTCCCAATAGTAGCCTTTAACATGTGTGTTAATGAATGAATGTGTGAATGAATGAATAAACAAACTAATGATCTCTTATAGTTTATGGTCTTCCATCATTTTATACCCATTAGGGCTCTGTATGTCATGGGGCAGGAAAAAGAGGAAACAGGCTCAGCAAGGTTGGATACCTCCTCCATGGGGCTGCCTCCTCAGTCATTTCCACCAGCCTCTCAGTGGCCTGAACTACCTGGAACTTGTATTTGCAAGTTAAATTACAGAATAAACACCATAGGCAGACTGTAAAAGCCAAGAGACCCCTCCCTGTCCACATCATGTGACTCAGCTGCTTTGCCTTGAATTTGTATTAGGTATGACAGATTCCTCAATGGCTCTTGTTTTGTCCTCAGAGATGCAGCACAGACTGTGTCCTGGGTCCTCAGGCACCACAATAATGACCTGGGGAGAAGGCAGTGGAGGAGGAGGGAGAAGAGGGGGTACTGGGGGACTCACTTCAAAACAGAAGAATTAGAGCCAGGCACATGGAGGCTGGGATCTGAGGATTACAGTTTAAAGACAGCCTGGAGAGGAAAACCCATGAGACCCTTATCACCAATTAACTACCTCCCTTCCCCCTCCAAAAAAAGCCCAAAGTGGTGCTGTGGCTCAAGTGGTGGAGAACTAGCCTTGAACAAAAGCTCAGGGACAGTGCCCAGGCCACGAGTTTAAGCACAAAAACAAAAACAAACAAAACAAAAAAATCAAAGAATGAATCCCAGACCCTCAAGGAGGCCATGGGGGGGTGGGAGGAAGGGGTACAAAGTAAAGGAACTTTCACCCTGGATTCCTTTGTGCAGATTGAAGCCTTACCCCACAATCTCCCCCTTGGATTTGATTAATTTCCTGGAGCAGGTTACATAGCTCAGGGAAATGTATTCACTTGTTTGTTATAAGGATTTTACAAAGGGTTCACTGGAGCAGCTAAGTGGGAAGGGTGAAGAGCTTCCTTGCTCTCTCTGGGAGGCTATCTTCCCTCCGGGCAGCAATCTGCAAGCTCAACCCCTGACCTTCCTGTAGGCACAAATGATTGGATCATTGGCCATTGGCAATCAACTCAACCTCCAGCCCAGGAGGAGGCAGGATGAGGCTGAAAGTTGCTTCCCCTGGCCTCCAGTGCCCATCCTGAGGCTGCTGTGTAGGAGTCCCCAGCCAGCAGCCATCACAGGGGCATTTAAGAATCTTAGTACTCTGGAGATTTGTGGTTTTGTTCGTTCCTTAAGTGCTAGAGATTAAACCTACATGCTAGGGAAGTGCTGTACCCCAAGCTACATCCTTAGTCGTGTTTCTGGGGTTTTCGTGATTTTGGTACCTAAACTAGGATGAAGATCAGCTGTATTATTTTCTTATTAGAAGACACAATATCCCAAGAAACAATTTCCAGAGTAACTTGAGGCCCACAGAATAGAGTGCCTTAGCCAATACCTCCAGCTGGACCTGAATTCAGGTCTCCGAACTCCTCATTTGGCTCTCACACTGTAGGGAGGCCCCTAACAAGGACTATCAGGTGGTCAGAGTGACCAACACCCAGTGATCTGTGTCCCCTGCCCCCCTCATCCACTCCTTCCGTGGTGCTGGTTGTACTAACAGGCTCTCTGTTCCCACCAGCTCTTTGTGATCGACAATGGTGCAGATGACTGGCGGATAGCCATGACCTACGAGCGCATCCTGTACATCAGCCTGGAGATGCTGGTGTGTGCCATCCACCCCATTCCTGGAGAGTACAAGTTCTTCTGGACAGCACGCCTGGCCTTCTCCTACACCCCATCACGGGCAGAGGCTGATGTAGACATTATCCTGTCCATCCCCATGTTTCTGCGCCTGTACCTGATTGCCAGGGTGATGTTGTTACACAGCAAGCTCTTCACCGATGCCTCATCCCGTAGCATTGGGGCCCTCAACAAGATTAACTTCAACACCCGCTTCGTCATGAAGACCCTCATGACCATCTGCCCTGGTACTGTGCTGCTGGTGTTTAGCATCTCGCTGTGGATCATCGCTGCCTGGACGGTTCGAGTCTGTGAAAGGTATTGGCTGTGGGTCCCTTCGGTCCCTGTGATCTGTTTAACCATGCCTTTCTAAGCACAGAGACCAGGCTGACACAGGGAAGGGAGGAGGAGCGGGGATGACAGAGGCATGTGGTCTGATGGAGGAGACAACCATGTAGCTAAACACCTCGAAGGAGAGAAAATGGGAACGAAGAGGGTGGAGCCAAGGTAAGCTGGGGAAAACACACATATAATATCTTGACTTTTCTGTTTCCTCTTTAAACAACAATGTATCAAAGATTTTGGAATATTCCCCAATCCTTACTCCTAAATAATATATTACAATTTTTATATCATCTCCTCTTTAGAGATTAATTATGCTTGTGAATGCTATAAGGCTCTGAGAAGTCCTGCAGTAATGAAACTTGTTTATTTTGTCCACATTTTCTTAAAATGATTCATCCACTCACTTTTTTTCACTATATACTACTGAGGTCTCTCTGCTCATGGCTTGGTCCACTATCAGTAGCATCCACATCACTGGAGACTTGGGAGAGCGAATCTCAGGGCTTCCATGTTAACAAGCATCCACCATGAGCCACGTGCACTTTAGAGTTTTGAGAAACACTGTGCTGATGGCATAGACTTTGGGAAATGTCTCAGGAGGCTGATGGCTGGAGAGTGACTTGGAAAAGTCCCTGATGGGAGAGAAGAGATGAGACCTAACAGAGATCTAAGGTTCTGGGACAGTATGACTGCTCTTCAGAACGGTCTTCATCAGGGTCAACGTTTGCGGTTGCCTCCTGCCAAGGTCTTCTAGAACTGCTCTTTGTGACTCTTCTTCCTCTCAAACTAGCCTCAGATATTCGATGCTCTTTTCTCTTTTTTTTTCTTTTTCTTTTTTTGTTGTCTCTTGAGACAAGGTCTATCTTGAAGTTTCAGGTTGGCCTTGAACTTGAGATCATCCTGTATCAGCCTGGGATAATAGGCAACCATGGCCAGCTTTGAATATTTATTTTAATCTGATTTCATATACAGAGTCCAAACCAAACCTAGGTTTAGAAACCTGGATTCTGCCCCTATGTAGCTGTGCAACCTAGGAGCCTGTTTGGGGCTCTGTTTCCTCATCTTAAAGTAAGGATCATTTGAAGTAGAATGAAGATACATTTCCTGGAAAGAGCGAATTTTATCATGTTGAAAGGCGTGGAGAACATCTTGTGTCGTTTACACAGATCCTGGTAGTCATTCTTAATTCATTAGCACTTAACAATTCTATTGCCAAAACTTCTGTGCACCAGAATCCTAGCAGAGCTAGGATCAAGATAAGGAAGTCTGGAATACAATTAGCTTAAAAGATCTCCGAACTAGCCAGGTGCCAAGTGCCAGTGGCTCATACATCTAGCCACTGAGGATGCTAAATCCTGCGGATCATTGTTTGAAACCGGCCTGGGTAGGAAAGCCTATGAGACTTTTATCTCCAATTAATTAACCAGCAAAAAGCCAAAAGTAGAGATGTAGCTTAAGTGGTAGAGTGCCAGCCTAAGGAGAAAAGGCTAAGAGATAGCCCCCAGGCCCAGAGTTCAAGCCCTAGTATTGGCACAAATAAAACAAAAATTCTTTGAAGTATATTTTCCACCTATTTTGAGATTCTCTGTTTGGAGACATTACAGATTTCTGGTCAGCAGACATGGTCAAACTGAGAGGGCATTCTGCTAGGGCCACGCAAGGGCCTTTAGAGGTGTCAGGGTCAGTCCCTGAGAACCAGGGCAGTGTTAGGAAACTCTTGTCTGGGTCTCAGGACCTCAACTATCCAACTGCTTAGAGTATGACCCTTGCTCAGCCGCTGACACTGCAGAGGCTGTTACAATGCTTTATGAACCTTCTTTGGCAAGCACATAATTTCCTTAACTAGAGAAAGTGTGTGTTTGGAATCTAATTCTGTTTGTCTGCCTGTTTGCCTGTCTGCCTGTCTGCCTGTCTGTCTCTGTCTTTTTTCTCTCTCTCTCCTTCTGTCTTTCTGTCTATTTTTGTGGCTTTTTTTTTCCAGTCCTAGGCACTGTCCCTGAGCTTCTTTTCTCAAGGCTAGCACTCTACCATTTGAGCCATAACACCACTTCCAGCTTTTTCTGTTTATGCGGTACTGAGGAATCGAGCCCAAGGTATGCTAAGCAAGCATGCATGCTAGGCAAGCACTCTACCACTAAGCCACATTCCCAGCCCTATATTTTAGCTTTTTGAGACAAAGTCTTGCTAGATTACCCAACCTAGCCTTGAACTCTCAATCTTCCAACCTCAGCTTCCCAAATGCTGGGATTATAGGTATGTACCACTATGCCTGGCATCTTTGTGGCCCTTGTAGTGAAGAAACATCATGCCAATCTCTTTACCTATATGGACTTCAATTTTCTCATCTATAAGCAGAGGATACTAACACTTATGTTGCAGGATTTATTATCAGAGTAAAATGAGGTAATGTATGTGAGCTGTACATTGCAATACAATGGTAGTGAAATATAGAGACCTAGGATATTATCATTATCATGATCTCTGTGATAACAAGTAGGAATTTGTGGCTGCCATTTTATAATTAGAACAAAAGGACTCCTACTAGATATCAGCAATACTCTTCCTGTTCCCCTGACTAATTGATGGAAACTTTCTAACAATAGTAATTAAATTTGCATAGTCTTTTAAGGCCTTTGAAGCTTTCCACCTTCCAACCATGTTGGGAATGTATTTCAGATAAGCATAGACTAAGTGTGCAACAGAAAGGTTTAAGGAGACTCTCACAAATATGGGTGATTTTTTTTGTTGTTATTGTTGGTCATAGGGCTTGAACTTCAGCTCAAGGCTAGCACTCTACCACTTGAGCCACAGAGCCACTTTCGGCTTTCTGAGTGGTTTATTGGAGATAAAAGTCTCACAGACTTTCCTGCCCAGGCTGGCTTTGAACCGTGATCCTCAGATCTCAGCCTCCTGAGTAGCTAGGATTACAGGTGTGAGCTACCAGCGCATGGCTGGATGACATTTTTTACTGGAAAACAAGCAAGTGTTAATTTGTCTAGTTAGCAAAATACTTGGCTTCATTTTCTTTGATACTGAGTGGTTCTTCATAGGTTCTAAGTCCAGGCTGGGTTAGCCTGGCCCCTGATACTTGATGGTTTTCTATGCAAACCTGATTCACAAACCCTGCCTGAAGTCAAGGCAAGGCACAGAGGAACCAAAGACAAGGCAGTTCTCTAAAAATGTTCCTCTCTTGAGAGAAGGCCTGATTGGATAGAACGTAAGGTATGTGGTACAGAGCATACTAGATGCTGTCATTGCGTTGGCATTTTCCTTTATGCCAGTCCTCATTAATAATAATAATAATAATGTGATATTAGAGTTTGAACTCAGAGTCTGGTGCTTGCTAGGCAAGTGCTCCATCACTGAACCATGCCTCTAGCCCTTTTATGGGCTGGTTGATTTTGAGATAGGGTCTTGCCTCTTACCTGGGCTAGCCTGGACCATGTTCCTCCTATTTATTTATTTATTTGCTTCCTTGCCTTCAAACCTTGATCTTTCCCAGATCTCAGCCTCCCAAGTAGCTAGGATTACAGGTATGACCTACCAGTGGCTGCCCCTGCATTCCCCCCTCCCACTCCCCACCTCCCCTCCCACCTTCCAGTTCTATGTCATACACTATGCTATCCCACTTTGGCCTTACAACAGACCTATGGCCATTTTAGAGTTTACTGACATGAAATAACTGGCTGGTGGTCACTGAGCTAATAAGTGTGGAATCAGAATAGGAGCCTGTCTCTGACCTCTTTGGCTAGCCAACCCAGGCTGGGCCAGGAATTTACAGGGCAACTGTGGCCTAGCCTTTCCCAATCTCAAGGCCACTGAGATTAACACTTAAATCCCTGTTTTGCTGTCTTGACAGTCTCTGCTGCTTGTGCCCTGGACCATTTGGCCATATTGGCTCCTAGGATGATTTCCTGTTCATTTCCAACACATGTGTGTGTGGCAGATGCTGTAGCTTCCCATATGATGTCCAATCCATGAGTCAGGCTCTACTCCCTCACCTAGGCTATATTGGCTGTGACTATCCCTCTCCTAGGAATGAATTGGCAGAAGGGAGCTGCCTGTGGCTCAAGGTCAAGCCCTTTGTCCTGGGGAGTAAGAACCCACTGACTGTCTGGTGGCATTTATGAAGGGTTAACCCCTTCATATGCAGGGGGACAAGTTTACAGGGCCAGCGGGCACCAGGGCTCTGAGATCTCTGGGGTGGGAGTCGGGGGAATCCCCTGAGGTCTCTGCCACTGGCTTCACACAAAGACCTCACTGGGCCAATCCTGCCTTCTCAAGCCCCATGGGTATTGATTCAGAGCCAGCCCCAATGAAATTTCTGTCCCCAAATCTTAGCATCTCAGAATCATTCCCAGGAAATCTAACTGACAGAACTGTGAAGCACATGTACATTTTTTCCTCCTAATCAGGCAAAGCATTTCCTTTTCAAAGATCAACCAATTTCTTTTAGAATCAGGCTTAAATGGTCCTTGTCCTTCCCAATGTCAAATAATAAGTAAGATCGGCAGAGACTCGAAGACAGGAGTTATTCAACCAGAAAAAGCACAGGAACTGGGAGCAGGAGATGCATGGGGAACAAAAGCTTCAGACAGGGTACAATGGACGTGCTGACTTGATCTCTCTCAGCCTGATCTGATGATGAATCTGTCACCTTTGACTTCAGAGAGGGCCCATGACTTACCCAAGGTCACAGAGCTACCTGCCAAGTTCTAGAAAAAGCCATGGCTGCTGATACCCAGATCAGGGCTTGTTCACATTCCAGGTGGCTTTCAGCAGCCTGGCCCTATCTCTAGTTGCATATATACACTTGTGAAGTTGCTATGGAAATCCCTGTTCAGCAAGATGAATTTTAAAAGACACTTCTCATATCTTGGGTTGGCTTTTATGTGACAATAAAGGTTTTGCCCATCTCCTCCTGCCAAGGAGGGAAGGGAGTTAGTGATTGTTCAGAACAGCCATGCTAGTGG